CGTCACCACCCAATTGACGCAAGGGGATCGTTATACATAAGTATTAAGGCTCAGTGTAAATCCAGTCTTTATTTCAGGGAGAGTGGTTGGCATCGACCAAGAGTGTGACGGCGGTCCCGGGAACGTGGGTCCCGAGTCCCTTTTTCATACTAGCATAAACATACAGTTTTACACAAGGATTGACTGTGTATTATTTTCGGTTCATTGATGTGCAAACTATATGAATCCGCAAACTTTATGAAACTTAACAATGACGGACAGTGTCACAATGACGGACAGGCCAAGCTGTGACGCTTAATTATCTAATAGAACTTTTATTATGTGACGTCAGTGCGCCAAGTGTATATATAAAGTAGCTTTATGACAACATTCACATAGAGAATGTAACAAAAGGGTGAAATCCAGTGTAAGAAATATACGATACATATATTATTCTCTTTTTGATAAGTATTTCTAAGGGGACCCTACCTAGTTCGCCATAAAGCGTGGGGTTGAGGACGTCGAACGAGCAGCTAACTTAAGGAACATTAAATGCATATTTTCAATCACTGCGGTTTTCTTGACCCCATACTTCTGCTACGTACATCAGAATTGGTAAGACTGTAACCTCGAATGTTTTAATAGCTCAGTCTAATGGTAGATCAATACTTCTGGATTTTATAAAGCAGAGCATACCAATGTCCATTAGATTCTTGGACAAATCGTTCGTTCTCATGAAACTTCACACCAAGGTTAGTATAGCTGTTTACTATTCTGGATTATTCTTACTGAAGTAAATGTCAAATTCCACTACCAAAATTTACAATTTAGTTATCTCGCTATTTCCTTCAAGTTTCCACCTGATACAATAGACATTTAAAGCATCCAATGATTGTGGCTAGCGTTTGACGTCAGAATAAAAACCAAAAGTCCCATGGATCAAGGAATGATGTTTTTTTCCGTAAGTTTGTCAGGTGGGAAAAGTGGTGTGCAAAGTTTAAAAATCAAATGTTTTGACAGTATGGAACTTGGTTCTTTTCTAAGATTGCAAGTATTTTGAGTTTTTGAGAATCCACATGGTATTCCACTTGTCTCAAATACGAGAAAATCGTACTTTCTGTGAATATAAAGAAAGTCCTCCCTTGATTGCTTTAAGGATTATGGTTAGTCTTTGAGACCAGATTTGGTCGTACATTTGCTGCACCCACCAATATATTTCTCTTTATGGAGCTTTGGAATCAAGTACGAAAGAGGAATGGACATGTCTTCAGGTTTTAGAGTCAAATTTAAAGTTGATATTACTGAAGCATGGTTTTGGCAGATTTCTTCCTCAGTCAACATATTAGCCTTATATGTTGCATTACTTGATAAGTCACTTATACCAAGCTCTTTGATAAAACAATTCATGTGGTGATGCTTACATATTTTGGTGATATTATGTGAGGCATTGTCAGTGGGAACAACTACAGACTTTTCATGTTGGGCAGCCAAACTTTGGATGACAACTGGCGGGGACAGAATGGGTTTTGTTCCATTTCTGTTTCTTCTTTTTCAGTTTGTGCATTCTACCAATGCCAACATCATGCACTGACTTAACCCACTCTGGAAGACATTCGACAGGTTCTTCTTAACTTTTGGCCCATTTTTTGTCACATGCTTCGACAGCATCAATAATGAAACCAGCTGGTAGGAGGATGCACACGATATTGTGGTCCATATTGGACTAACCGACGGAGGTTGTTATTGTCAATAATAAAAATAAGTCACCTGTCATTATTTCATCTACAGGTTGGTGGCAGTATGGTGAGTCTTGGCAGTCACAATTACTTGAATTTACATCATGAGTTGAACCCCCGAAGATCCGGGGTAGAATAGGTCTTCAGCAACCCACGCTTACCGTAAAAGGCGACGATGTTTGTCGTAAGAGGCGCAAATAATATCTGACAGTTGTGAAAAGCTTGATATTAAGTGTTTAACAATATCTTCATGGGCTTCACATCCCATGTGCAAGATAGTAAGGAAACCGAGAGTTTTATCCATTATTCTTTATCAACATGCAAATTAGTCAAAATATCTCATTACACATCAAGAAGTCAATGAATTTTTGCAGCGGATACCATTTTCAAGTTGTGTTGAAAAACCGGCAAAGAAATTTTGAGGGGAGCTACCTAGAATGGGAGTTGGAGCTAAAGGAATAGTATCAATTAAGTTGCTCATGCTTCATCTGGTTAAGTGGCTCATGCTTCATCTACATTTGAACCATGTACAGAGCAGTTGCAAAAACATCCAGGGACAGCATTTGATACAGAAGGTGGTTTCGGTGCACTTGTGTGAACATCTGCTGGTGTCTTGTTTACTGATGAAGAAACATGACTAGGCACAGCAGAATCATAGGAGGGTGAAGGATTGATCTTGACAATTCGAGCAGCTTCAGCATAGGACACCTTCTTTTCTACTCGACCCGTGAAGATTCCGGGGTAGAATAGGTCTTCAGCAATCCATGCTTGCCGTAAAAGGTGACTATGCTTGTCGTAAAAGGCGACTAACGGGATCGGGTGGTCAGGCTCGCTGACTTGGTTTGATGCATGTCATCGATCCCAATTGCGTGGATCGATGCTCATGATATTAATCACTGGATTGTCTGGTCCAGATTCGATTATTTACAGACCGCCGTCATATAGCTGGAATATTGCTGAGTGCGGCGTTAAACAACAAACCAACCAATCTTTTCTATTCTGATTCTTTGGACAGACATTACATCCTTGTATTTTTGACAGCCTTTATAAGAAGTACTGTGATCACCTCCGTAATTTCGATATTTTGAAACAAATTCAGCGTCACAATCATCAACCTCATGAGCCGCACAATATCGTGTGCAGACAGGAATAATACTCTTGCATCTGGATGAAACTTGACTAAATTGATGACAATTGTAGCATTTTAGAGCTGGGGGAACAAAAGACGCACCCGGAATGATTGAAAGTACATTTTGAACCGTTCGGGAAGATGAGGGGTTGCAAATGTCAGCAAAACAGAAGAGGTAACTCCTTTTTTCCGCCCACGCTTTGCCTCAAAGACCTTTTGACCTTTAAGTTGATGAACTATTTACCCTATATTCACATCATACTCAACATTGGAAATTGTCCCTTGCTTTGTCTCAGGCTCTTCGAGACACTACCCCTGGCAGGGATGTCACCGATTGATGTTAGGACCATGCCTCCTTTAACTGTTGAATAGATTTGCAGTAAATCACCAAGTCACCTTTTCAAGTTTTTATCACAAATTTCAACATCATCAATAGGTTTCGATGTCACGAGACAAAGATAGTGGGCTCAAGTTTTTAAAGCTAATCTGGGGTCATCTGTTCAAAATATAACTAAAAGGTTTCACTGGCACACCAGAAACTTAATTCAAATCGTCCTGAGACACGTCATGCGTGTATGCGCTTTACATTACACCATTGTAATGTAATTTCCGGCAAATTCTGCATCGGTAGATGTTTTCTCAAATGAATTTAGTTCACATTCATAATCATCATCCCCTATGCCCATCCATATCACTATCCATATGACGACGAGTTCCCCATGACACAACCAGCGAAAATTGCGACTTGCCACGTGGGGCGAGAAGTCCGTGCACAAGCAAACTAAGCAAAGATATAAGCCTATATTTTAAGCTGACTAATTTTAACTTACCTTCGTGACATTATTAATCTAATTAATTCCGAAATATAGAAATGTAAAAATGTCTATATGAGCCTCAATGTCCGTATGAGTCAGCGAGAGCGACTGTCCAGGCATCAGTAGCTTCCCTTTGTATACGTCGTCGCCCGTAGAGTAGAATCTACCTTGCCCAGTTTATTAATATTGTAGAAACGGTGAGCTCCGCCTGTATTTCTTTTGGGTCACATTCGCGTCAGTGATTTTGTCTTTAGTTTATCATTAAAATAATCTACAATTAGATACAAGTTGAAGAGCAAAATCATAGATGTATATATCTAAAATCGAGTGGGACGAGGGACGATCTATTTTAATTTATGAATTTTAAAATGTACAAGTAGTCATCAACAAGGAAATACACACGATGAGTCATTTGAAGTATGTGTAAAATATCATATGAATGTCAAAAGAAAAATGAGGACTTTTAAAAAATACTAATCAATGTCATCAATAGCCATTGAAAATATAGTAAACAACTGCTTTCCCGGAATATTTATTATTATTCTTATTTCCAATCCTTTCATTCTTAAAATTTCCCGTCTTTTCTGAGTTTTGAAAAGGTAGTCATAACAATCCACATGAAGGATATATTTCATATATTACGAAAGGCTCCCCCAAATAAATGACGATCATACATTTACGTGTTATCTTACAAGAACAAATTATTATTGTTTATTTAATTTTCACATAATAATTATGTCACCACATCTAGAGCCAAATTTATGAATTCACGACAGTATCAATGCCGACAAAAATCATTCTGGTAATCGTTTCCTTCAAATAATTGGAACCTTTCTCAAAACTGCAAGGTGCGATGGAGGAATGAACGTGTTGTGGGTCGTAACCGGTTCCATTTATTGTATGCTCAGCAAGTTATGCGCGTTTGCAGACAAATGTAGACAGGAGTCGAGTTTACGATATTCGTACCTCCACCGTTGAAGATTTCGATCTTAGCTAAGATCCCGGCATCTTAAATCGCGCTAAGATCGGTTGTGCACGTTGTAAAGGACAATTGTATGGTGATTGTAAAGTTGATTGTAGGTGCCTAAGATCAATTGTAACTGAGACTGTTCTGTGCAAGTGGTCCCAGAACGGGCAATTTTAATAACTCTGAATTAATAATCTTCGATCGACACGAATTGACCTAACTGAACATTGAAATACAGTTCACGCGAAAACATACGAAACTGTCTGTTGTATAAATAAATATTGGGCAGCACCTTTGATCTCGCCTCCACCAAAGTTTGAATTGTGAACCAGCGGGACCAAGAGCAAAATAATCACATTGTCATTCTTATGTAGGAGGGTCTGAAGAACGACGTGAAGCGACATCGACACGAGGCACGGCCCCTTATCCTGGAGCTCGACACTTGTGATAAAGCCACTCTCTCCAGACTCAAATACTTCACCAGAAGTAAGCCCTGTATCTGCTATTATTTACACAGCTCGAAAAAAACATAACAGTTTTAACACAATGGACAAAGTCTTTTTCCATACACACGTAAGCACGCACACAGACTTTCATACGTGAGCACACATGCTCACGCGCACAAACATAATAAATATATATACCCCTCGCCAAAAGTATCGCACCACCAAGATATTTTGATAATTAGAAAAGAGATTGGTAAGGAGAAGCTGGAAAGCGAAACAAAAGAAATCAAAAGTTTTCATAATGTCAAATAAGATGGGAATTTTATGAATAATGGGGAAAATGAGCAAAGAAAAAAACAACTTTATTCGACAGCGACTACAAGGACTGTAATTGGGGATAAAGAGAGGTAGTATAAGTATGGTAACTGTCAGGAATGAGATGGACAGATCAAAACGTACTTGGCTTAGTAACGTTGTACCCATGTCAGTTAAATGCTTAACTGTATTAGTCAATATCCGGTGTAGCCACCCCCTACACGGATCACATCCGCAAGATGTCTCCTCATGTTCAAAATCAGACGCCTGATCCTCAACTGAGGGATCTGATCCCAAAAATTCTCGATTTGATTCAGCTCTGGGCTTCGAGAAGGCCAAGGCAGAGTCTTAAATGCGTTCTTCTTCTGGAGATGATCAGTCACAGCTCGTACTAGATGGGGTCCGGCATTGTCGTCCATGTAGACCGGCCGTGTGGCAAGTGCATGGTCATTCTAATGAGGCACACCAAAACTGTCCAATATGGTACCTTGGTACCTTTGTCCATTTAATGTCCTCTGAACTGTGACCAAATCAAGTTTACAATCAAAGGTGCGGCATCCCCATAACATCACTGAGCCGCCACCACATGCCCCTATTTCCTGGGACTGATGAGATGTTCAACTTTGCCTCCATACGAGTCCTACCGATTTTCGTTAGACCAATGACCTCAATTTCCAGTGTGCTCTAGCCTGACACCAGGCGTAACGGTCCCGCATGTGTTGTGGTGGAGGCTTTATTGGTCTTCTGGCCCTTAACCCTTCTGCATTGAGTCGACGTCTGATGTTGCTAAGGCACACTCTGTTTTGGGTATGCCAGTGATGACGAAGAACATTGCAAGATGAGGTTAGCAGCCGTTTTCTCTCGCGTGCAAGGACCCTGTCGTCTCTGGCATTGGTCTTCCTTGGACATCCTGATCTCGACAGGTCCCTCACATTTACAGTCAATGTGTGTTTTCTAATGGAACGACGGATTACAGAATGATTATGTTCAACACGAAGGCAAATAGCCTAACATGACATGCCAGTTTGGTGCATGCCAATGATTTGCCATCTTTGATTTTCTGGGATAGTACGCTCAGGCATTTCTGTTATTATCGTTCAGACTTGCAAACAGACCAATCCAGTACCGGCCGATAAGCCCCTCCCCCAAGCTTCCGCCCTCGTTTTAGGAGTTCTTGGGGACAACCACTGGCAAATCGATATAGTGTCCGGCGAAACTAGATTTACACGGCATGTAACATACCTACATGTAACAACCAATAACATACCTACATGTAAAACACCTACACTTAACAACTAGTAACAAATCTACTTGTAACACACCTGCATGAAACAACAACTAACACACCTACGTGTAACACTCCTACATTGCAACAGCCAGTAACACATCTACATGTAACAACCAGTAACATATCTACATGTGACACATCTGCATGTAACAACGAGCAAAACAAATACATGTATAACGCCTATATTTTAACGAGTAACGCATCTACATGTTACAGCTCTAAACGTAACAACCAGTCACACATCTACATGTAATAATCAGTAACACAACTACATGTAACACCCAGTAACACATCTACATGTGACACACAAACATGTAACAGCTAGTTACACATCTACATGTAATAATAAGTAACATAACTACATGTAACACTCAGTAACACATCTACAAGTGACACACATACATGTAACACACCTACATGTAACACACCTACATTTAACAACCAGTAACACATCTAAATGTAACACCTACATGAAACTTACAGTAATAACTAAACATGTAAGAGGCAGTAACACCCATACATGTAACACATATATGTAAGAGCCAGCAACACACATACTGTATGTTACATGTAACACACCTACGTGTAACAAACAGTAACACATCTAATTATAACACATCTATATGTAACACACCTACATGTAACGACCCATAAAACACCTCCATGTAACACATCTTCGTGTAACAACCAGTAACAAACCCAATGTAACAGCCAGTAACACACCTACATGAAACACATCTACATGTAGCACCTACATGTAACACATCTACATGTAACACACTTACATGTAACACATCTACATGTAACACCTATATGCAACACACCTACATGTTACAACCAGTAACACACCTACATGTAACACATCTACATGTAACACCCACATGTAACACATGTACATGTAACACCTACATGTTACACACATACATGTAACACCTACATGCAACTTACAGTATGTAAGAGGCAGTAACACACATAAATGTAACACATTTATGTAACAGACAGTAAAACACATACTGTGTGTGTTACATATATATTACATAACAACCAGTTACACACCTTTATGTAGTATCCAGCAACACGCCTACACGTGACACACCTACATGTCACAACCAGTAACACACGTATGTAACAATCCGTAACACACCTACATGAAGCACATAGTAACGCATATACATAACATACATCAACACGCCTTCGTATGACGGCGGTTTGTAAATAATCTAGTATGGACCAGACATTCCAGTGATTGAGAGCATTAGCATCGTTCAGTCGCCATTGAGATACGATGGCATGCATCAACCAAGTCAGCAAGTCTGACCACCCCATCTCGTTGGTCGCCTCTTATGACAGGAATAGTTGCCTCCTATTTATAAGGCATGCTGAAGATCATTTCTAACCCGGCTCTTCACGGGATACCTATATGTAACAGAGAGCAACACACCTACATGTAACAGACATGAACACACCTACATGAAGCATACAGTAACACATGGACATGAAACAGACAGTAACGCATGGACATGAAACAGACGGTAACACATGGACATGAAACAGAGAGTAACACAGAGACATCAAACAGAGTGTAACACATGAACATGACACAGACAGTAACACATGGACATGAAACAGACGGTAACACATGGACATGAAACATATAGTAACACGTGGACATGAAACAGACAGTAACACATGGACATGAAACAGACAGTAACGCATGGACATGAAACAGGCAGAAACGCATGGACATGAAACAGACAGTAACGCGTGAACATGAAACAGACAGTAACGCATGGACATGAAACAGACAGTAACGCATGCTCATGAAACAGACAGTAACGCATGGACATGAAACAGACAGTTACACATGGACATGAAACAGACAGTAACACGTGGACATGAAACAGACAGTAACGCATGGACATGAAACAGACAGTAACGCATAGACATGAAACAGATAGTAACGCATGGACATGAAATAGACAGTAACACATGGACATGAAACAGACAGTAACGCGTGAACATGAAACAGACAGTAACACATGGACATGAAACAGACAGCAACACGTGGACATGAAACAGATAGTAACGCATGGACATGAAATAGACAGTAACACATGGACATGAAACAGTAACGCATAGACATGAAACAGACAGTAACGCATGGACATGAAACAGACAGTAACGCATGGACATAAAACAGACAGCAACACGTGGACATGAAACAGATAGTAACGCATACGAGTTTTTGTTTGTTTGTTGTTTAACGCCGCAGTCAGCAATGTTCCAGCTATATGACGTGGGTGGTCTGTAAATAATGGAGTCTGGATCAGACAATCCAGTGAGTTATATCATGAGCATCGATCTACACAACTGTGATACGATGACATGCATCTTACCTCTTGGGCTGTTTTACCAATGGCAATCTTGTATTGTTTTCAGGTGACTTCATCTCTCAAGAAGACATGGGGAAGTCTCAGAAACTGATCAAGTATATGGAGTACGCCTCGCGACATAGGCAAATGTTCGATGAGGTAAGTAGAATGTAATGTTGGCTATGGGGGAAGATCGGACGTATTCCGACACCCTATGGACACAATGCTGTGTTGCGTCTGGCTTGTGCTTCCTAACACGTACCTGCAAGAAGTATTAACGAAAGCACCAATCGCCTCGCTTGTGACCTTAAGCGGTATAACATACTCGTCTGTTCTTGAGTATCGGCCAATGGACCTGCAGTATTTCGTCCTGGAACTTCCAAGACGATAGCTGAAGAAGTTTCACTTTAATCGAAATTGTAGATCTATATTTTGATACACCAGGCAGTATTTATATACTGACTGTTAAGCCCTCTCCTGTGCATTCAATATCAAGTATAGTGTGCTATTTGTAATGTGATTTTAACCTTTTACAACTGACAAAACTAACAATAAATATACATACAATGTTCACAAATATTCCTTTAAATAGTGAGCGTGGGTATATGGGTTTCTACTTTTGTTTGACAGTGCAGATGAAGATTCCAGATATCCATGTATACACATGTGCTATTTATACATAACTACACTGTGCAGGGATGCAGATATCTCTTGCACCCTCTTGGCAGCAAGAGTGATTATTATCTTTCAGAATATTGTTAGTTACACGGTTGTCATAGGTAACAAAATATAGTTCTTACATGCCATTGGTTGACGTAAATAATAGTCACGCATAGAAAAAGTTACATATGATAAACAGGTAGTAATAGATATTCAAATGAGATATAAAGTGACACTTAGTTATGGATGTCTCGACACAGATCACGTACGGGCATTTGAATGGATTTAGTCTGTTCTTGGTTGGAGTGAAACAGCCAGACGGCCTTTCACGAAGCTGTCTTAGCGCTAAGAGTGCCGTAAAGGTGTCGTAGCGAAAAAGATCTCAGCTAAGTCTATTAGCTAAGCTGTCTTTGCGCAAAGTTATCATAAGTTTACGACAAAAGTTATGACAGGGTGGTATGGGTCTTCTGAGCTTACGACGGGTACAATGGCGGGCAAAAGGCAACATGTTGAAGAAAACTATCATTTCTGATCACAAAAAGGGGTGTTTTCCACTTGCACTTTCAAAACACGAACAACAGATCGCAGCAAACATAGCTGTAACATTATATTTACCGATAATGCCGTATGCCTATCTGCGAGTCGAAAACAGATGGATAGCTTAACAATCATTCCATTCAAAATGTTACTCTACCGTTTTCATTTATTTCGGTTGAAACACTAGCTGCATATGCGCATGCCATCGCAATGACCGTGACCTTTACTTGTCAAGTACAGTTAATTTATTTGGATAGTGAGAGTGGTTTCCATTTGACCACGAGTACAACGTATGACATATATAATGGAATGAGCACTTTTGTCGATTATCTATAGCCAGCTGTTTGGAAATCATTTAATCCATGATGGATGCGATTTCCTTCTCACATCCAGCAAAAGGATGTTTCTTGAAAGGTGTTTGATGCAATCTGTCTTCGTCTAATAATAACTGAATCGAGTTCTATAAGTTCACCATTTCAATAGATACACGAAACTTTAGAGCAATGGACTAAATTAAGGTTCAGGTTGGGTTGTAGATAGAATTTATACTTAATATTTAGATATAGCCGATGATATGCCTGGATAAGGTTAAGAAATATCTCTGTGAAAGATGTCTGCATGAATACAGCAGGTAAGATCTTTTAGAATTGCATAATGAAGACAGTAGATGTGTTGGACAGACCGCTATCAGGATTGATATGCCCAAGAGGATAACAATATAATAAAATTTTATCGTTATTGTAATCAAATGCCAGCACCATACATAATTTACGTTGACTTTAAAGCCCTCATAACACAAATTGAAAATACTGAACACAGTACTGAACGCAGTTATATATATATAAAAGATCACAATGGTTGCGGGTTTGGAGATTTGATGGGAAAACAAATGCTCCTGTGATTTACAGAGGTCCTTTGGCAGCGGAAACGTTCCTAGAATCTCTACAAAATGAAGAAAGAATAATCCGGGAAAATTTGTCGCATACGAAGTCCATGTGTATGACAAAGGATGATTGGAGAGCCTATGAGATAGCAACCAGTTGTCATGTTTCTAATAAACCCCTGAATGGGGATTCTGTAAGAGATCATTGCCACGTCACAGGTAAATGCAGAGGAGCCGCGCATGATGAGTGTAACTTAAGTCTTAAAATAAATCCGAAAACAATAGCAATCACTGTTGTACATACCTGAGACGATATTATTCTCATCTCATCATGCAAGCTATCTCAAAGACTGATGATGTTTTAACGTGTATTCCTAATAATATGGTAGAATATATAATATTATTCTCTTTGACCAAAACTGTATATTAAAGACAAAGAGGGGAAAGCGAGAACAAATCAAAGTAATGGACTTTCCTATAACAAATCAATATACTGATCAGTAAACTCGACATTTGTTGCTGAGAAAGGGTATACATCCGGAGCACCTTTAGAATTCAGTACCACATCTTCTCGTGTCTCAAAGACAACCAACCAGTTTTTTCTTCGTTGCAAAACAGCAAATTTCGCGGCGATAAAAGTACTGTGCGACGATTTTTCCTATTTAGCAGTTAACCTAAGGCAACTGTGAGCGAACAAAATACAGCCTAATATCTGAACGACATAAATATATATCAAATGGATTTATATGCTCATGTATAACGTTATACATTCAATACAAAAAATAGCCTGCCGTAAATGACGAAAACTGATTTTTCTCTATGACGTCAAAAGACGACACGTACAAAAAAGAGGCCATAACTCCGCCATGCTTAGCAATAGATTAATGTAACTCGGGTCACTTGGTGAGAATCAGCAGTGGATAAGGACAATATATTTTTGTGGTGTTTTGTTCACGAGGAACCAAACTATTCCAACACAGATATATCGATATTAAAACTGTATACGTTTAAGTTTATAAAACAACCGTAAGGAATTTTGAAATCGTACTTCATAAAAAAGAAAGTAATCGATGGCCCGATCTCTCCTATAATTTAATCCTTAGATTTCAACATTCATCTGATAGTGCAAGTGTAACTTGACTATTGTTGCACCAATATTAATGGTGTACTAGCCTTATCAAATGTAATGAATTACTAAAAACATGACACCATTCTATTTGACGTCATGGCTGGTTTTATGTCTTTGACAACGTCGGAGAAAGATGACACTGGTATTTTGATTAATATAATATCTCCCGTCATCTAGAAAATGGTCAAATGTAACAAATGTGATATTTTCGATAACACTTTCTGAGTAAAGTACTGATTCTCGTACTTTTGGCATTGTGTATTCATAGCTTTCGGCCATGGGAGCCGTGCCAATTTAAACTTGTCAGAGGGGTACACAAAGTACGTGATCTAGACTACCAGTTGTCGGACTGTCGGTTGTGGAAGCCTCGGTGGCTGTGTGGGTTAGATCGCTGACTTTGTGGGCTGGCGATTGCAGTGTGGGTTCGAATCCCGGACGGGACTCAACCCAAAGAAGTATGAGAATCTGTACTTTACTTAGAAAGTGTTATCCAAAATATAACATTTGTTATTACTTTCTAAATGGCATTGTGTATTCAAAACATTTGCAGAATGTTGCGCGATCGGTAAAGGTGACGGAGTCCGGTATCTGCGATGCCCTGGGTGATCAGATCTGTAGACACTGTCGGAATGCTGTTCGTTGTTTGGTCCTCAAAAACCTATGTATCCTGCCGCCTGACATCCACAGACTGTTGTCACCCATTCTGTCCAGTATCACTTTCATTTGGATTCAAGAATCCTTTGCTGCGCGGTTTTATTACTCATCCGTGAAGAGATCACCCGTTTAATAAACATACAGCGGTATTACACATTGTTTAATAACATCACGTGCACACGGAACTATTTTTGGCCGGCCACATGATACATCACATGACCAAACAAAATGGCTACTGTCAAAATGTACCGATTCTCTTACCAGGGCGTGATTACAAATACTTTTTCTTCAGATGAATTATCATGAAATCGAAAAAGTAATATGTTCTAAATGTACGGATGAGAAAATATTCATTAATTAGAAATAATAAACGACATGAAAATTAAAGTACATATAGCACACGATGAATAATCTATCGTCAAGTGAATGATCCTATCGCAATGGCAACCGAAGCTATAAAAGTATATGATTGTGTCAAAATTGATGGTCAGCTGAAGGGACGGGTGCTATCGGTTGTTCAACCTTTAGGGACATACAGCATGTTCAACGTTAAACTGGATGATGGTTCCATGAAACAGGTACCTCGCTCTCGAACGCAACGAATTCCGGAGACAGTTTCGGCCATGTTACCCCCATCCACCTTTGTTGATAATGACAACAGTTTGTTCGATCTTAATGATCTATTCAAAGATGACTTTTTTTATATTGTGCCTGTGCCTCTAAAGGGGGATGAAATACCTGTTTCGCCAACCTACTGTGACGATTCCGAAATTCCGAATTTCATTACAACAAATCAGAATGTAAACACTTTCAGGAAGACCGCTTATGACATGAAAATCATCACTAGATTTATGCACGAGCAGAATGACGTTAAACAACCAGGAGCCATTCCTGCCCATGAACTTTGTAAACTTTTATGCAAATTCTTTATGAACGTCACAAAGGGTGATGGGTCCGATTATGAGCCCACAAGTTTGAGGGGGATTATTGCCAGTACAGACAGGCACCTTAAAACAAAATTTTACGGGAAATCAATTACGCACAATAAAGAGTTTACACTGTGCACTGGGGAGACGTGATGTTAATCAAGATTGAAATGGAATGGAGTACCTGCAGTTTGTTGAGCGGCAAACCTAAACACGCACTGGTGTAAACATCCGGGATGTTCGGACTGTCACGCCGAAAGCTTGGGCGACAGGTGACAATCGCTATCCCATCCCAGCGCTATGCTAACCTTAGACCAAATGGTTTCAGTGGCCATGACACGCCTTTCTACTTGGCAACAAATTCTAAAAC